CTAACTGCCCAACTTTTGTGTAAAAAGTAAGCTCTTAAATCAAGAGAGAACAGCTAAAACATTTTCACTGTCAGCTTCATACTTTTACCATTTCTTGGTCTATGGGAGACTTGGAAAGTGAAAGGCATGAAGGCTTCTATATTCCCTTATACTTTCTATATAGATATGTTCAAATAATTAAATGGTTAATTCATTAAAATCACATCTACAATCTTTTTTCTGGAGACACATTAGGATATCTTTCCTATAAGAGGAAAAAAAACCAACAAACAAACAACACCAGCAGCTTTACAAATCAGGAGCTTTCCTCTGCCACTCAACTTTTGTCGGTGACAGCCCGCGCCTCTCGCATCAGCCTACTGGCACAAGCCAGCCTGGCTGACTTAGTGGACAGGCTCTGCCCAAATACAGCTTTATCTAGAGTAGCTTTCCTTTTAAGAAGATTTGGATTCAGCCTCATTTACATAGTTCAGGTGATGAATCGAAGATATACTATTCTTAGAAGAACTGGTTTTAGCCAGCAAACAACTCAGCTGGAGTGAGAGATTCTTTGGGAGTCAGGCAAAAAAACCCTTTTTATACATGGTGCTGGTTTTGATGATCTACGGGGTTCAGGAGTGTAGGAAGCCAGCTAGGAACACAAGAGAGAAGAAAGTCTGCCTTGCCTCTCACAGTGAGTCGTCTGCAGAATTAGTGATCTGAAAGAAAGCAGTCTCTTGTCTGAGACTCTGGAAGATGAGGACTACTATCTTAAATTCATCAGATTTTGTTTCACTTTGGGGAAATAAAGCAAAGACCTCTGAGAAAATCTGACTAGAAAATCTGACTTTGAAGAACATTCCTTGGTATACAAACTAAAGCATAGGTGAGCAGTGATACACACTCATAAGATCAGAGCTTGTGCCTCCAACTTTCTTTTTTTTGGTTACTCATGAGAAAAAGATTAAATTTAATGGCAGATTTAAGGAAGAGCAGACAAGGTATAAGGGAAAGAACCTCTGACCTGGAACCTTTGCCAGCTTTCATATTAGAGTGGGGAAAAAACATTATGTGCGTGTATCCTGTAAATTCATTTGGAAACTGCACTCCAAATTGTTTCCTTTACTCAAGGACATGAGAAAACCTGAGAGGATCAGGCTGCTAGAAATGGCATAGGAGCATTTCAGAAGCTTATGCTCCATGTCACCCACAACACCCACAACAGAGCTCTGGCTTCCTGCAATGCAGTTATTTATCAAAGCAGCACCTAACACACCTGACCGATGGCATGCAAAATGAAACCTCCTATTACTTTTTTCCAGGCAGTATCTTGCTAATGGTTACTGAGCCTTTCACTTCTTCAAGCCCAAGCTAACAATGAAATGTGGAAGTATCTACCAGAATAATGAAAATATTTAGCTTACTTTGATAAAAATGAGTAAGACCTAAGCTTACAAACTGAACTCAAGATACAAACTCAGGGTTCTCTGTGTGTCAGAGACATTCTGGGAGGGTGGAAAGGAGGAAAGCAGCTCTGACACAGTACCAGGAGGTTTTACAATGGGCAGCAGGCATGCTGCGTAAGCACGCTACGTCCCTATACTTACGGAGGCAAACTGACAATTTTGACGCCTATTCTGATGTGGCTTTTGGTCTTCAACAACACTGTAGAGGGCAGGAGGCAGAGAGACTCCTTGGATCCCCTTTGCGATGCTCATAACACACCTGGAACCTGGAGCACTGGGGTCTGCTGGGGCTACTGGGGCCAAGTGCCACAGGTCAGGAGCCCTGGTACGAGAGCATGGTCCAGTCTGCTACCCAGACAACCAGGGTGTACTTTGACATGCTGCCTGCCTACTCACTGCTCTGTGTCCCTTCCAGGGTGCTCACACAAAATGGCTACAGTTTAGCTCTTTATTTTCTGCAAAAGATGATAGTGACTTTTCTTAGGCAAAACAAAACAAAATAAAAGAATGCAGAACTCAATCCAGTACAAACATAATGTGAATAAATGATCTAGGAAAAAATTTCCATAATTTCTCATCTGCAAAGCTTTATCCACCAACTACCTGTTTTATGTAAGACTGTCACCAGCTTCTATTATCCTGCCATAAAGGAGAAATTTCCTTTTAAACACCCTGCTTGGATGACTGACATCTCATCATTACTACAAACAGTAACAGTTACACTATTAAATTGCCAAAGGGAATTTTTTCACCAAATACGAAAGACACCTGTGAGCTGACAGGCAGCAGATGGGTACACAGTTTACAATACTGCCTGGCACCACAGGGAACAGCTTTCAGGGGCCGTCATCTCCACTCATTTCTGCTTAACTCATTTTTTGTTTGCCCTGCTGATACTTGATTTCTGTGGCTCATGCTGAAACAACTTTTTTCATTTAACTTTTTTAAGTCCTAACATATTCCACATTCTGCCACACACTGCTGCCAACTCTCACCATATTATCATAATGTGCCTGTATTACTTATTCTTTTTGAGCTTCCAACTCCAGCAGTCATCATCATATTTATAGAAGGCAATTTTCAAGACCCACTTGAACAAGAGAGCAAGTAAAGACCACTACTGTTTCATAAAAGCATTTTAAAATAACCTCATAATTTTCAGGGGCATTTTTTTGGAATATTTTGATTCAGCTGGAGCTGGAACTGCAGCACACCATGCTTGGAATTAATCCTGTCTTCAGCTCTTATAAACATGGAAAGTGTATATAACTTCCTTCAAGATTTACACATAAGAGTTCATGACTCTAAAAAGCCCAACATTAGCCTCACTAAAGATGAACTCCTTGCATCCAGTACTCCCGACTGTCCAGCTAGTACTCGCTCCACCTATCTCAGTTCTCGTGATGGAGGGTTGTGATCTGAAGCACCAGCGTGTTTTATGATCTGTGCAGAAGACAGCGAGCAAGGTATTCCTG